TGAAAGATACTACAAATCCAAAACGGTAATTAAATTGGTAGCCCACCAAAACAGACAATGTGATGTCAGTAGTATAGCTGGCATGTTTCAACCCAGGGAATATTTACAGGATCAGACTTTTCCATTTTGACTGCGATGGCATATGAAAAGCATATGTAAGCTGACCAGAGATAAACCCAGTTCCACGCACAAGAGCGCAGTAACCTGAGACTACACAATAAAAGCAATGCCACAATATTGCAGAGAGAACATCTACGCACCTTGGAATACGCCAGATGTTGGGGTAGTTTACCCAATTGCACTGTGTTTTGCAACATCAACAGGAGGACCATGCATTCCCAAGTCACTGGTTTCAGCACGAGTGAATTCTGATCAGCACAATCAACGTTCTGACCCAGTACCGAGATTATTTAGTAAGACTGTTACCTTGTTCACACCATCTGCCATCGCTTGCAGTGTTAGCTCTCTAGGTCCATCCACAGTCTTTCCATTATCAGTTGGTCCCCAGCTGGCACTATATATATCTATGACTTGAGGCATATGACTGATAGAGGAAGCCTCAATAATGTCTGTCATAAATGGCTGGTCAAGCATTCGAATACCTGTAGATTCAATCAACATAAACATGAATTATGCATAAGTCAGCACGAGAGGAAATCTCAGCACCTGGAGAAGCCCTCCAGGTACAAGTATTTTAATTCGCCAGCAGTTTCACCCACTCAGTAATTCCACACTCGCCATTCCCATTTCACCAGGGTGTGCTTACCCAGCAGGATGGCACCACTTAAACACCCAGCCACAGCAAGGCAGTGTGGCCCAGAAAGAAAAAGCACTTCATCGTTAGCCTTCTAATTACATATTTTCCATCTACTATTTGAAATACTTTTAAAACAGTAGTGTTCAGCAATCTCAGCATTTCATAGCATTTAGATAATACTAATAGCATTTAAAATATTATTTTTTAACAACTAGGGAACAGGATTAAGGCCTCCCCTATCTCTAATTTATACTCAGTGAAGTGTTGTTCATTAGTTTTTCAAGTAATTTTTCCTGTTTATTTTGGTTCTTTTCCAGAATTTAATCAGAGAAGGGAAACACACTACACAATGACTTCCTGGAAAAATATCATTGTGTCAACATGATGTCAACATTTCGCAATAGCAAAATATGGCCAGTATTTGGAGAAAAAAGCAAACTAAAGCCTGCTTCCTTTAACCCATACTGCAGCAGAAATTGAGTCAGAGTTTAAACAATACAATCCTAGGACATGCCAACTTCATAAAACTGCAAAGTTTTGGCCCTAAGCAAGCCAGACAGCGTGACAAAGACAGCAGCACAAGCCTTCACATCCATCATGCCCCACATATAGGACAGTTTCACTGACAGTCAACCTCTTGGTGGCCTTTGGATGAGACCTGAGTAACCAGGGACACATTCCAACTCTCACTTGTAGCCTTGAGTGGAAGTTCAGTTTTTCCCAAGAGTTTTAGGCTACAGATGGGACAGAAATCAATACCGTGGAGCCGAACAGCGTGAATGGCAGTGAGGACCCTGATTTAGAAGCCAGTGCTTTTACTATATTCAATACAAAATCCATGGGCCAAATGTGAGGCTGGAAAAAGTGGTATAAACTTCAGACAGAAACCAGATCAAAGCTGGTTATTCCTGATCTGCTAATTCAAGCTAGAAATTATGAAGTCAAACTCAAGGAGAAATCCCTTCACACGCTTGTAAACTGCAAATCTGCACTAAAACCATAGAATTAATTCTTGACTCCAGGGAGGTGAGGGAACACGAGGAGGAGCCAAGCCATCTGGGCTTTGACTTTAGGGCAAAAAAGAGGCACAAGAAACAAAACACGATGCCCCAGATCCTTGGCTACCAACTTCCAATTCCACCTGCACACATGGACCCTGAATCATGCCAGCAGCATTCCGCTCTACTGAGCTTCCACGTTCCCACTGACCACACGATGGTGCTATGGGTGCACGCTGTCCTCAGGCAGCAAAGGCTGGTGCTTCCCAAAATCTGCGGGGATTTTGCTACGAAGTGCACAAGGATAGCAGATGATTTGTAGGCTATTGATCATCAGAAAAGGCCTCCACTTCGTGATTTTTAAGCAACCGCCTTGAAGTTGTAGATTTAGATTAGATATAGGGAAGAAATTTTTCACTCTGAGGGTGGTGAGGCACTGGAACAGGTTGCCCAGAGAAGTTGTAGATGTCCCCATCCCTGGAAGTGTTCAAGGCCAGGCTGGATGTGGCTTTGAGCAACCTGGTGTAGTGGAGGGTGTCCCTGCCCATGGCAGGGAGGCTGGAACTAGATGATCTTTGAGGTCCCTTCCAACCCTAACCATTCTATGATTCTATGAAATCCACCCAAAATCCTGTGCCTCAATTCATGCACCTCTAGAAGTAGTTATTGCCAGAATGTAAATATGAAATGTCTCATCTCCGGAGGGGACATTCCTACTACTGAAGAAAGGGGACATGCATTAGACCTGCCTGGCCAGGTACTAACTCTCAGTGATGTCTCTTGGGGTAATTAATGGCTTAGCAAACATTGCTTGGTGCCCTTCTACAGTGGAGATTCAGCTTTCGATCGTGCAGGTGATGGGTGAAATGTAGCCTTCTCAAAACTCTTCTGACAGTGCAGTGAAACAGGGACCAGCCAAGCAGAGCAGAGCTGCCCATGCACACACACTGTGAACCATTCCCAGGAAGCAATGGGTGCATCCACACTGGAGTTTTAGTGTGGACTGGGAAACAAAATGAAATTCATAGTCATCTGTCTCTGCTTGCTGTGCCTTGGTTCTCATCATGGAGCAGTCTTAGAGTGGGAAAATTGGATTTTTTAGATTAAACTAAATTGACACATGCTGTCCAAGAGCCTAACTTACTCCAGTCCCTTTGTTCAGTCTATCAGTGCAGACAAAAGCTAGTTAGAAGTAAAAACACCTAATACTCCTGAGGTGTGAACACTAGCTGCTAGGCACCACCCATTTCATTCTGTGCATCTGCTCCTACACTCTCTGCATCGCTTGTTAAAATAGAGGAAACCAATGACCACAGAGACTTACAGCACTCCAGGGCCTGTCCTGTGAGTGCCTAAAGAATAAGAGCAGCATGGGATTTGCCTTTGCAAGTACAGTTTCTAAGAGCAGTAGGAATTTATATTTTACCTCCTGCAAAATGAGATTTGTCACAAACAACTCTGCAACAATGCAGGGAAGAAGCATTGGAAATCAGCATACAAACAGGAGCTGGCGTAAGAAGGAGTAGAGCTGTTCCTTGGCAGTGTTATTAAAGAGGCTATATAAGGTGCTCAGCTGAAGAGGCAACGCCACAGAGAAATTCCTCTCCCCAGCTACTGTGAAAAGTAATAAACACATGGCTCAGTGCCAACCCACAGTCCTGTCCTGGGCAATGCTCCCTGTCTCTGTACGAGAAGTTCTGCCTGAGGCACAGTGGCGGAAGGACCATTTACGCCTTGAATTGCTACCGTACCTGCCACCTTGGAGTTGTACGCAACTCCCACGCCGCAGATGTTGTTGTTGGCAGCAGCAGACACCTCTCCTGCACACCTTGTCCCGTGGCTGCAAAAGGGAAGACAGAGACAGCACATGAACCCCAGCTAAGGCACACGTTGAATTGAGGTGGATCACTGCGATCTTGTTTTTGCTCCATAGGCAGCTCCCAGCGCTTCACAGGAAAACCATTCCATGGCAAACTGTTGAGTGCTGTACTTGGATACCTGGATGAGCTCATTCCTTCCTGAAGCAGGAGATAATCAGCTTCCCCTCTGCAGTATGAGCGATGCTTGCTCTGAGGTTAACATGCATACTTATGCTTCATTCAGTTGTTAAGTTATTCAGACCTTTTCTTTTTAACTCTGTCCAACAGGTTCTGCCTTGTTACCAACTATTAGTCAGCAGAAACAGGCCCTTGACAGACCACTGTAAAAATAAGATCAATATTAATTCCTTTATTTTTGTGACTTGACAGTGCAACACCCATTATTTGGAATCCCACAGAACAAAGTATCCCTGCCCACAAAAGAAATGCTATGGAAAGAGGTGGAATATCAAGCTGGAGTGACAGAAGGGAGCCACAGGGTCACTGCACTCCTCAGCACCAGACCGAGCCAGACCCAAGGCACGTACATCCCGCTCCTCCAGTGCCTAATTCCCAGGAGAGCTGACAAGGTGCTCCAGCTGTCAGCTCACGGAGCTACTGCTTTCTGTTCAAGTGGGAAACGTCTCTGCTCTGACACAGAGGTCCAGGTTTGGGCTGACACATGACACTTCAAGCACACTTGGCGCCTCTGAAGTGGTTTACAGCTCTTAATAGAGACCCTTTAACTGGCAGTGGTTCTGAGGCAGTCCTGCAGGAAGGCAGATTGCATCTTCCTTTCTCCGAATTCATCACAGAAATTTAAACCACAGAAGAGATAAATACGGACAATTGAATCTAGTTTTAAAAATATAGCACAGCAGCAGAGAAACTAGTGAAACCTGTACTGCTGTGTCAGTTTTTTTTAAGTTTAAGATGTTGAATCAATATGAATCCATCCTGCTGCCTGCATCGATCCACTTTGTGCATTAAAACTGGCATTGCTCCTATAGCATGCTAAGGATTCATGCAATTAGCAGTGCTGTCTTATAAGGGCTACACAGAGTCTCAGATGAATGATCCCGGGAGGCAGCAGAACTGTTTTGTTTTAATCATCTTTTTTCTCTCTCTCTCCTCCTTTAAGCATCTCTGGCAAAGGTGAGTGTAACATTAATAAAGGGGTGAGAAGCAACACAATCTTTTTCCTGCTGTACTTGGAAGAATATATTTTTAAAGGCAGCTCCACGAAAGAAAACAACTGGCCTTGAATGTACACAGTGTCTTGATCACGAAAGAGTGAAGATCTCATGCGAGTTCCTTTTACAAAGCAGGCAGAGAGGAGAGGCATACAGATTTCTTATTCAGCTGCTGGAGAAATTTCTTTCAACAATCAAGCAGGTTTTCCCTCATGCCCTTGTTCAAGGAACTGTGAAAAAATATACCGTTGCTAGGCATTCATTATCTAGTCACCTGTGGGCTAGCTACAAGCCACAGAGCAGAATAAATAGCTTTGTTAAAAAATTGTCTTGACCGATCCTGGGGTGCAAAAAGTCGGTGACACTGCTAGGTGAGCTCTTTCTCTCACAGAGGAAAAAACTCTATTAGGACCTTCCTGGTGAAAAGATTTTATCAGAAGGTCCTCTCCGTCACCTCACCTCCCAGTGCACTGGCCCACATGATGGAGACTGCAAGCAGACCTGTTCCAGCAGCTCAGGGTTTAGATACCGTGCTGCTGACTGGAGAAAAAAATAATCACATGAGAGTTAGTGGAAATGCATTTGGTTGAATTATTAATGGCAAATAGCAGACTTTTCCAATTTAGCCCTATTTGCTCTTCATGTATCACTGATAAACCCACTGCGGTTTTCTTGACGTGACCCACGTCATAGGCACAAATCACAGCTTTTCTCTCCAACATTTACTTTGCTGCTATTATTTCAGTGTTGAAAACAAGGAGATAGAAAACAATTAAGAATATTTTCACCTATGAGCGAATTACTTCAAAGGTAAACCATACAGTAGCATGCAGAGCAAGTTTTCCATAAACATTGTATAAATGCAAACATTTCACATCAACATTCGTGAAAACCTAAGGTGGGAGAGGGTGATGCAACTCAATGTCAGTTTTGCCTTTGGTTGGTTTAAACAAAATCTGTACTAGTTATGAAAATTTCACTCTGCTTTGTCTTTGAAAATAATTTCTATTTCTAAAACCCACTGCCAATGCCCTTTTATCGATAATTTTTTAAAAGAGTCAGAGGTGGCACAGATTTTCATTGGGGTTCCTTTTCAGCTTTGAAATGCTTCTGCAGCCAGCAAAGGACAGGATTCATACTTTCTAACTTCAGCTGTCCGCTGGGCAAGGGCTATGCAGAGCCATAGTCTGAATAGCTGGGACCATCTGCCTATCTTGACCACTTCAGCTGCTTGCACTGGGCAGCAGTTAAATATGCAAAGCTCAGAGGGACACTTTTGTGCAGCAAATGCCATCCCTTTTTAACTCACGTGACATTGTCAGCTTCTGAGCATTTGAGTGTTTGCACAAGGGAAAGCGTTCCCCTGCTTTGGGGAACGTGCCACTCCACCTGCATCCAAACACACCAAGAGCCAGCAGTAATGCTGTGGTTCCTCCCTGACACTTGTGTCATAACACTGCAGGTAGAAAGAGCTGCTAAATCTGTTTATACAAATTCTCAATTATTATGTTGTTTCCGTTGTATTGATTGAGAAATGAGGAGGAGGGAAGCAGGTGTTTCTACCCTCTTAATGAGCGCTGTCTGGAAGCCAAGGGGAGTTCTTTCCTTGAATTAATGGTATTTTGTTTGGATCCATAATAAGTAAAGGATATTTTTACCTCTGAAGAACATGGGTTTCCAAGATAGTGAATAGTTTTTGCCTAGCTAACTGTTGTCTGGGTGAGAGAATGTACAGAATACAAAGGCTATAGAAGCGGAAATAATTATTGGTTATTTATATCATGGCAGAAATTCATCATCTCAGTGCTCTGAGATGAGGAGTCCTGTGCTGTGCCTTCCGTACGCTCACAACGAGAAATCAGAGGGCTGTACAGAAAGGCCAAGCTGCCCCTGACTCCTATGGGTACCTCAGCACTGCACTACATGGTACATGCCAAGACTGAACACGGTTCAGAAGGAGTAGGCGTTAAAAATCACAGGCAGTTCCCAAAGTGGTTCCTAAAAACCACTCTGCATGCTGTGGGGCTGCCTCTGCTTTTGGGAACAGGGCTTGGTTGAGGTTCCTTCACTGCTCCCACTGCTCCTCAGGCTCAAACACAGCCCTGTCCCGTGTTTCCCCCAGTGTCCCCCATGCTGGCTTGGTCCTCGAGCTGTGCATCTGAACGCTTTCAAGCAGTCAGTACGGCAAGCACGGGAATAAATCCCTTGGCTGCCCAGTCATCTGTGTGCCTCTCCCTGTAAAAGCAGCTGAACTGCCCGACTGCAATTCCCTGCCCGAGGCACCACACTCTCCCCTTCCAAAACCCACCCTGCTTGGTTTCATAGGCCAGTGGCTGTTAGATGGAAAGGCCAAAGTGCTTCCAGCAGCCTTAAAAAGCACGAAGTGGAAGGGGAATCTGTGCTTAGAAGCAGAGCAGCTGCGATTAATGGAATGCTCCATGCAAAAACCTCTCCCTTTTTCCCTTAAAGTCTAATGACACTTTGCACATGCAGCTGGCAGCTCACAAAAGCCCCTCGGTTCATCTCTTTAAAAAACAGTCCTCTGCTTCTTGTTCCACAAATCACTTGAATTGCTCACATAGAAATGTATTCTTTATGGAAAAAGGGATATTACGCTATCCTATTTTGAGTCTGATCCTCCTGCATGCATAAAATTCAATGGGAGATACATCACTGACTGCAAACTGAGCAAAATGGAGCCTTTACTGCAGGTTTCTCTGAATGGCTTTTCTGTGTAACTACTCTCTCTTCAGATGCACCTTTGCAACTACACGCATGGATAGACAGTCATGGGCAGACAGTTGTAACCTACCAGTAATAATAATTCAGGAGCCTGAAGTTACGATAATAGCTTATATATGAGCACATCAGCTTGCTCAACAGTGTAGCCAAGGAATACACAGAGAAAAACATAGTCACAGCTACTCCTGAGCAGCTGGATATGGTGCGCTGGTTTGCATCTCAGCCTGGAGAACACAGGAAATCGTGCATCTTAAAGCCTTCTTGTATCGTGCAGGCAGGAAAGGGATGCTCTACTGAACGTGCTGCTCCTGTCATTCACCTTGCAAGGCAGAAAATTCCTTCTCTTACCAAAGACACCTCAAGGTTCATGAAAAAGAATGCTATACTTTCTAGGTATTGCTTTTTTTCTGAGAAGAATAATGAATGAAATCAGCAAAGAAACTTCTGCATTGCTTTTCTCCTCCTGACTTGTGGTCCCTATCCTCTCAAGAAAAGAAATAGATGAAAGTGTTGCAGTTCTCTGAAAACTTGAATCATGTTGTTCTCCATAATTACAGATCAGGTGACAGATGACCATGCTGCTCTCCCTCACTTCTTCACTTGGGTGCCTGAAGTTAGCTACAGGCAGGTGGGGCCAGAGACCATAACCCTTGCCACATCCAGGGTGCTCAAGGCTTGTTTTAAGGGATTTTAGGAGGTAACTCTGCTCCAGGGCCACCTTGCAGAACACGTGAGGACTGCAAACTGTGCCCCACTATAAAATACTTGATAGCAGCACAATCAGTGTTAATGGGGCTTGGCAGAACACACATCGTTTTATGAAGTTCCACACCGAAAATGACAGAAGCTACCATTACCCACTAAAGCTAAATTTAATTTTCCTCTGTGCTGCTCCGGAGCTAAGTGATATCTTTCTCCTACAAAGATCCTTTGCATAAATGAAGCCAGAAAGGCAGCAGACCTTCACAAATTAGAGCCCTAGTCCTTCTCCAACTTTCCATTCACAAATTGGATTCATACTAGTTTAAAAGTGTCAGATGTCCTCTCCCAAAAGGAAGGCGAAATCTCACTGGCATCTTGCTTTGGCTGAAAAATGGCAGGACTACAAAGGAGGACATCACAGCTCCCAAATCTGTTTGATCTGTTCCAGAAAGACTGCGATTGAGGTGGAAGCACAGCTACTCCACATCTTTGTTGTGCCATTCTGATAGAATTAAAATTGATTCCTTTAGAAATGAAAACAAAAAAAAATACAAAACTCAGAGGCCATCCATACACCCATACTAAGTTAGAGATGAAAACCACATCAATTAGGCCTAAAATATTTTTTTATAACCACTAAGACTGAGTCCTGAAACCTTTAAAAGTTTTCAGATCCTCAGTGCTGCTGGTATGTGAATGCTGGCAACATCAATTATATTCGCATGTAGAAAACTTCTGGAAATTTCATTGAAAATATCCTGAAACAATTTTTACAAATTTACAGACCCTGGGGAGTATGCCACAGAGCCAGAGATGCTGGATGCTGAGATCACCAGGTAATAAACACACCTCATGGGTGTGCCTTGGACTCTGCACCCTTGACTATGTTAAATCTTGCTGGGAACAGTTAGCCTGACAGAATGGGCTTTTTCATGGGACAGGTGTAGAATCCAGGGCACAGAGGTTTTTTAAAACACATCTACACACATTTCTGTTCCATTCTAACCAAAAATGAGTTTTGGGAAACAAAAAGGGTCGCATTTCCTAAAATCTGAAGCCTTTCCTTTTTGGGCCAT